AGCCGTCAAGACCTGGCTGTTCTGGAAGGCCTGGGGCTGATGAGTTCCCAGCCCCACTCGAATTGTTGTGACTGCTGTGAGTTTTTAAAATCTGTTCTTTGTAATTTGTTTCTCGTCTTGTTTGTTCTTGTATTGTTCCCTTCCCCTTGGTTTGTTAGCCGCCCTGAGTTCCTATGGGAATAGGGCGGCATACAAGTTTAATAAACCTACAACCTACAATCCACATATATATTAAACAAATTGTTTACAGGCACTCTATAAAAAAAAACACGAATATTTTAACATTTGTTCAGTTATACTCTGTTATCTAAACATACATAATTACCATTTTTTAGCATTCTCATGACATTAACATCTTCCTTTTCAAACATTTCTTGGATTTTAACATCTTCAACATATCCTAAAATTTCCATGCATAATTTCTCTTTTAAAAAATAAAGAAAAACTCCTTCGAGTATTTCCTTACTTCATTCTAAATTATATTATATCCCCCAAATTTTATTTTTAATCCCATGCATTCCACTGGGAGGTCCTTTATTAGTTTTATTCACCCATTCCATAGTATATTTTTAATCCTCAAAAAGGCTATGTTTCCTCTTCCACTTCATTTGAACATTTTTACAAGAAATGTTTTTACACTTTCACAAAATTCTGTAATTTTCATAATAAACACTAAACTATTGAAATTGATTTAAAGAAGTATCTTAGGTAGAGATCTAAGTATCACAGTGTTATTTTTAACAGAAAGGGAACACGTGTTTTTTAAATAATCTATTGTGGGAAAAGAAACTGCAGGGCAAAAGAACCAAACAGACAGGTGTAATGGCCATTTTTGGCATTATTTCAGATATAGCAGCAAGGTTAATGTTTTGTTTCATTCATGTAGGAGTTTGTATACATCAATTTTGTTTATTGGTTAAGGTGTTTCTCAGCTAAAAACTGAGAAACTTTGAATTCTAGTGTCACCTTAGGCACAAAGCTAGCTGGGTGACCTTGGGCCAGCCACTATCTCTCAGCCCTAGAAAGAAGACAATGGCAAATATTGAAATACTGCCAAGAAAACTCCAAACATATCCAGGTAGTCTCTGAAAATTGGCATAACTGAATGGAAACATAGAAATAATTATAATGTATGTTCTTTGCAGGTACCAGCTGTTCTTTCTGCTCCATTAAGGCTGCATGCTTCAAATCCTAATTTATCTACATTAGATTATGGGGATGAAAAAATGTATTCAAATGGTTCTGAGGTGACATCAGAATTTTCTAAATTGCAAGAGGACTTGTGTCACATAGCTCACAAAGGTAATTGGGATTTGTCCCCAATAAAAAGATGGTGAAAACAGTTTGTAGGTTAATGAAAATTAAACTTGGTGAACACTGTATGAATACTGAATGTTGGACTATTTATGGAGACCACAAGAGGTATTTTATAAATATTTATCTTCATTATTCCCCCCCCCCCCAAACAACAGACATTTGTTAAAACCTTTATCTAAACATGTAATAGTAGGTTGCCTTAGGTTTACTTGTACAGAGTCTCCAAGTGGCTTGCTGAATTTCAGCTTTAGCATGGTGATGTAAAGAGTTGCTATGAGAGTAAGCTATTTTAATTGAAACAAAATAGAAAAAAATGTTGAGGAGCTCCAAGGCAAAGAAAAATGGCATTTGTCATCTATTTATTTACAAAATAAACAAAGCAGTAACTTAACTATTGTGCCAATAAAGTTTTTCCCATCTAAATTTATTTGATTGATTTTTCAGGGACTTTTTTTTTTCAAATGAGACAAGTATTCTTTTATACCCAACTTTTAAGGCATTAATCACAAGATTTGGGTTGATTTGCTTGCTTAGTGTTCTTTGTCTTCATTGTGATAGTTCTACATTTTGACCTACAAATCATTTCATTTCTGTAATTTTTTTCAACTATTTTTGTAGTGTACTTTACCTTAAAGTCAGCTTTTAGTACGATTTCAACAGAAAAAGAGAAGCTGAAGCAGATGTTTGACCATGATTCAATCGCATCTCCATCTGCTCAGATAATTGGACTGAAGAATGCCTTATCATCTGTAAGTTCCCACATTAATTGGACTTCTGTTTAAAAAATGTGTCTTATCAATTACATTAATTCTTCTTGGTTTGATTTTTGCCTTCATTTAGTTTAACTGAACTGAGCTTTGATATACACTTGTTCATTGGTTTCTATAACAAGCTGCGAATTGTGATCTTGCCAAGAGCTGCCTAAGTGTGGTAGAAGCTTTTGGAGAAGGCACGATGTGTGTCCTTAGAGTGAATAGATTCTATCTCCATAATAGTTTTATCTCCAAGTAGTGGGCTGTCATATTTTATCACAGAATTTAGCAAAGTTAATGATTTAAAAAAAATCTTTCCAATGCCCAGGATAATCTGTGCTAGTTAATCTCTCTATTGTTGCTCAAACTATAATCTTGACTCCCAATGGTAGACCAGAGGATTGTGAGACCATCTACCCATTTATCTGTTCTCTTTTATACTGTATACTCTGCTTTTGAATTTATATAATAAAATATAAATTGATAGAATGAACTGGTTTTATTACTTTACCCACAATAGGGCAATCTGGCGTTTCCCTTCACCACCATTATTTTCATTCCCTAAGTCTTAAGAAACATCTTGAAAGCAATCCCTGACAGTCTGGCTAAATAAGGTGGAATAAAATCCCATCATTAACTTTGAGTTCATTGATCTTTGAATAAAACCTACTGCGTTTCCCCAAAAATAAGACAGGGGCTTATTTTCTTTTGACCCCCAAAATATGGCTTGGGCCTTATTATCAGGGGAGAGCTTATTGTTTTGGGGTTGTTCTCTTGTGAGTGGGCTCCCAAAGAGCCGGACACAGCCTCAGGGTGAACAGCTGTGTTACGCTGTTGCAGAAGTGCAACACAGCAACCATGAGGTGACCATGCTCATGAGCAGCTGTCTGGCAAACCCCCTTTCCAGCCAGATACAGTGCCATTCACTGACATAGGGGTATCCCGAAGGTACCAAGACGTGTGAGCACCTGTTCCTTGCTCCCGCGGCTTGGCGCCTTTCGAATACCTCTAGGTGAGTGAATGGCACTCTGCATAGCTGGAGAGGGGAGTTGCATGAGTGCCTGTTCTGTTCTGCGCTCATGCCCCTCCCAGGCTCACCATGCCCTGTCTTGACAGAGTCTTCTAGCAGCCAACCCACAACCATGGAGCACAGTTCCAGAGCGGCCACTGCCAGAAGACACGGCAGCCAATCTCCAGGGTTTGGAAGCGAGAGAAGAAGCCACGCTGGGATGGCGGTGCTCTGGCCTTGCAAGGAGAGCTGGCCCAGGGTATGGTGAGGATGGGAGGCTGCCGAGCGGGGAGCGGAACAGGGGCTCACACAACCCCCCTCTCCAGCCATGTAGAGTGCCATTCACTAACTTAGGGGTATTCCAAAGGCATCAAGTTGGTGGGGTGGGGAATAGGCACTCACACGGCTTGCCTTTGGGATAGCCCTAGGTCAGTGAATGGCACTGTGCCCGGCTGGTAAGGGGGTTTGAGGGTGGCTGCTCATGAGCGTGTTCACCTCATGGTTGCTGTGTTGCGTTGCTGCAACAGCGCAACACAGCCGTTCACCCCTGATGCCATTCACCCCTGAAGCTGTGTCCAGCTCTTTGGGAGCCTGCTCGCAAGAGAGCAGCCGCCCGGCAACCTCCTCTTTAGCTGAGCACAGCACCACTCACCGACCTAGTGGTATCCTGAACGTGCCAAGCAACATGAGTGCCTTTCTCTCTTCCCCCCTCCGTTTCCGTGGCTTGGCACCTTTGGGTTACCGCTAGGTCAGTGAGTGGCGCTCTGCCTGGCTGGAGGTGGGTTGTTCAAGGGTTTATTTTTGGCGGAGGGCTTATATTTTTGCCCACCTGAAAAATATGTCATGGCCTTATTTTCAGGATAGGTCATATTTTCAGGGAGACATGATATGATAAACAAATTTCAAGAGGTCAGCTTGCGGCGGAACCCTTATGTGGTGACTTATCTGAGTACCAAGCAAGATAAAATTGATTTTGGACAACTTGCTACTTAGATTGTTGATGATTAATGATTGGAACCACCAGCAATCAATTTTGAAAGGGGGGAAATGTATCAGTTGTTCTCCTATTGTAAAGCAAATGGTTCATATTTGAGACTGAAACTGGAAGGAAATTGCGAAATGATGAATTGTACAGTCTTCCCCAAATATAGTTCCAAGATTGGAAGCATGGTGCAGAATGGAGTAGTGGAATAAATCATAACACTTGAAGTTGCAGTGCTTCCCACATTCAAAGATACTTTTAAAGGGATAAAGGCTGTTGGTGAAGCTGTAATGCAATATATCATTAGTTATTTTAGAATGTATACTATATAAGAGTATTATGAAAAATGCTATTTTCCCTCTTCATTTTGAAGCAAGGCTCTATTTTCATCTGTCTGGAATTCCTTATTTTTCCCCATTCTTCCATATCCATAAGCAAAGTCTGCCACATATTATTGTAAGATCAGGTTATGTTAATAATTTTAGAAGATTATTTATGTGTGAAAATAAAAAGCAATATTTAAACTGCACATCAATAGCTTTGATGCTAAGATGTAAACAACTGTAGAATGTTTGAAGCATATGCACAGAATGTTCTATATATTAATAATTACAGTATCCTTCCTATTCATTTAGCTCTTAAATATTTTACAGCCTTCAGCTCGTATTTACTATACACTCTAAAGAACAATAATATTGTATTCTGCCTAAATTAGAGAATAAAAAAATAGGCTGGAGCTAAAATATTCTAATAATTTATTCAGCTCTGGTAGGTGCACTCCTTTCATTTGCCCTTATTTCCCTTAACTTCTTCCTTGCCTCAGAAAACTGATTGTAGAAGGGTTTTTTTTCCAAGAGACTTTTCTTATCAGATTGCTTCTTAGACCTAATTTACTACAGATCAGAAATTAGAAATATAATTTGAAGAAATTTGCTATTCCAACTTAAGCTCTGGAAGTAGAATTTATATTGTTTCATGATGCATTGCTGTTTTATGGATTTGTGAGGCAGTGGTTCATATACCACAGTACAGTTGAATTTTGTTTTTTTGTTTTGCATTGCATTGCAGAATGCACAATAGTTTTATTAGTTGGTGATGCAAATCACCAAACAATTGCCCAAAGTTTGGCAGGCATTTTGATATATTAAAGTTAAGCAGCTCAGGATATCCTAAAGAATTAGCTAAGAAACTGTAGATAGGAATAACCCTGCTAATTCTTTCTTGGAATCAAATGTACTTCATACATGGTTATGAAATGTGGACATTTTTCCTAGATTGGACAGAAACAAAGGAGGCACAATATCTAGTTATAACGCAAGTATGGATTGACCAAAAATGTTTTTAAGTTTCTGAAGAAAAAGAAAATAGAATAAAAATAATTTATATTATAAAGTAGAGCATAAAGTAGAGATGTGCCTAATTTTCACAAAAGTTAGGAAATGAGGTACATGGATTTCTTTTCGGAATTCACTCCATTTACTCCTATGATTTCATGTCGCATTTTTAAGGTGTCTATCAATGGTACGTTATGACATTTTAATAATATTATTTATATGATTGAAGTTTAGTTAAAAGGGGTAAAACATGGTACATATCGATCCAAGCTAATGAAATAGTACAAGCCACATGTAGTCCATTGGTGCAGTTTCATTGCTCTAATAGATAAAGGAAGAATAAATATTCAAAATAAAAAAAATGAAAATACTCTTATTTCAAACCTTATAGAAACTGGCATTTGGAACTAAACAAATTTATATTTTGTTGTTTAATAAATATCCGTGAGTGTGCACGCGTGTGTGTATCAGTGTCAAGCAACAATCCAGGTTGTAAATGTCTCGTGCTTATAAATCATGTCATTTTAAATATTGATACATCTGGATACTGGATTTATAGCTATACAATATGGCACTTAAGATAGCTAGTCCTTATTTTCTTTAACATCCACTCAAATCCTAAAGGTATAACATGCTTTCAGTCCATTCAGTTAATGAATAAACTGATTCTCCATGTGTCTATGGAGATTCTCAGTCAACCAGGTTATGGTTGTCCCAAAGGTGCTTTTTCAAGAGGCAAAACCAGAAAGTCCAGTTGCCTCATGAAAAAACACCTTTGAGATTATTTTCCATATATTATAGGCATATAAACACCAGTAAGATTAAAATAATATAAGGAATTTCCATGATAATTTGTTCAGATACATTTTCAAAGTGAGAAGGAAATAAGAGGGTTGCCACTTCCTCAGATCTCAAAGCATCATTGAAATAGCCAAGTCTCAACGGTTTTGTTAGAGGCCAGGAGAGTAGGAATATGTCTGCTGTCAGGGGAATGTTATTTGAGAAAAGGAGATAGCATTGGAGAAGGCTGGACTAAGATTCCCCCAAATTAAAATATGTGAGGGATAGAATAAGAGTAGGGTCTCTCCTGCACCTCTTAATTGATGGACAAAAGTTGCTGGAGTAGGCAGTCTATAGATACCCAGGTATCTACAGGAATCATGAAGACTTTCAAAAGTGATATCCACAGTAACACTTCGAATTGCACCCAGAAATATACTGTTTACCAGTTCAGAGATATCACATGGGCAAATCAACTGGAGCCAAAACTGCTTGAGCTGCTATATTAATCACTAGCTTTAATTTCCAAATTGTACTTAAAAATTGGAACTATATATGGTGTATTACAATAATCCAAAATGGGGGAAAGCGGGCACTAAGGTATGAATAATAGTGCAGAAAACCTCCCAACCCAGAAAAGTGTATAATTGGCAAATAAAATGGAGATGTGCAACAATTCTCCCTGACACAATTGCTACCTGCTCTTTTAGAAGTACTGAGAGTCTAAGTGGGCCCTAGATAACACATCAAATTTGCATAGGGAGACACCACTCCATTATAGAGTGAAAAATGAATAACACTGAAGTCAGAGAAGCTTCACACTCAAAGTTGCAGTCTTTGTTTATTGAGATTGAGAGTCTTCTTCCCTATCAACATTCAGCTTCTGGGCATCAACACAGATTCTCATCCACTTTTGATGTTCAACCTAGAGTTGATACATGCCACTATGCCAGCAGGTGATCGCCCATGTGCTTTATATAGATGTCACATAGGACAGGTGAAAATCTCAACATTTGAGACATACCAAACTGAGCATCCTAATTCTTGACATTTTGCACCTCATAACCATCAGTTGGAACTGCTCACTCATGATCTCATACTGTGCCCTGACTGGAAAGGGTACAGATCATTTGTTTCCTTCAGAGCCTTTTTCAAGGTACAGCTACAGAGTATAAGTAATTTGCTTTCTCTGCAGCACCCACTTTCTTAATGACTCCCGCCCTCCAAAAGAAAAAAAAAAACAGTTGGAAACCAGTCAGTACTTAGCTAAATTTGCCAGGTTGAGCAATGACTTTTTCAGAAAGGGGGGCACTCTCTTTCCTGGAGGATTTCACTAATCAATAAGAAAATGAATCCAGACTACACAGGCAAAGTTGATATCATGGAGAACTTGGTCCATTTTCTCAGGATCCGTAGCTCTGAACTGTCCCAGATAACTTTCAGAGAAATAGCTTGTTACCTCTCTAGAACTGTTATGCTCGTATCAAAGGCTGAATGAATTTGAATGATTTTATCTTCCACACAACTCACAAATTCTTCACATTTTAAAAATAAATGTTGTTCCAGCCTAGCCTTCTCTAATACTAATAATTCTGAGGTGAATAGATCTCTCTGAATATAAAGTAGATTTCTAAGTTCCAACCTGGTATTCAAAGGTTGCTCCTGATTTTAGTTGGTTTTTTTGGGGGTGGGGGGTAATAAGTATGTGTTATAAATTCATTCATAATTTATCTGATATCCTTTTAAAATTTCCAAGTCGGAGGCTACCACTTCCTCATATGAAAATAAATTTATTAGTTTAACAAAGTAATATATGAAATTTACTTTTCCCACTATTCGGCATTATTAATAGGCTGTGTTTTATATAATTATTATTGATGGAGAAAACGTGACCCTCAAATAGAGTGGATATATTTGGATATTGGCAATGGAAATACTTTCAGAGTACCTACATCAATTTAGGTCCTTTATTTATTTATATATTATCCGCTGTCAGGATTAAATTTGAAACTCCAAGGTGGCGCAGTGGTTAAATGCAGCACTGCAGGCTACTTCAGCTGACTGCAGTTCTGCAGTTCGGCTGTTCAAATCTCACCGGCTCAGGGTTGACCCAGCCTTTCATCCTTCCGAGGACCCAGATTGTTGTTGGGGGCAATATGCTGACTCTGTAAACCGCTTAGAGAGGGCTGAAAGCCCTATGAAATGGTCTATAAGTCTAACTGCTATTGCTATTGTATTTTCTTCATTTTCTTATTTAATAGTTATATCAATTTATACAGTAGTAATTCTGGCTGGCAAATAAGTTTTAAATAAAAAACAGAAACAAATGATAGACAACAATATATCTATCCATTTACCTACCTATAATGCTACATTTGATATATGCATTGACAGTGACATTCTGAATAATTAAAACTTTCCAAAACTGTATTCATGGTACTTGCTATTTAATGCATTGAAGCTTATTCCCAGATAAATGGATATAACATTGCAGCATCATTTCTTTTGACATGAAAGATAATTAACAAATTCCCAAGTAGTTACTCATAGTTGTCTTAAAAATTGTGTTCTGCTTGAAGAAATCATGCAACACCCACTTGGTGAGGAGTCTTGTTTGATCTTGTCCTGGTTAGTCATATAGAGATTAATGTGAGTTATTTCCAAATGGGTGTGCATTTCCTGTCTTTTGCTTATGTTGTAGTTAAGTGGGTTGTGCACCACACTGCTGCTACTATTGCACAGAAGCAAGTTTGGTTTGCATGTGTTGAACCTTCTTTCTTGAATCAACTAGTGGTTTCCATAATCTTTGCCTAATAGAAGAGAAAAGTCATCTTGTGGTGGCATTTTCATCTAGCAGTGATTATTTTCTAACGTAAGTCAAAGTCAGAAGAATGTTTGCTGTCTTTGGAGGGAAGAGAAATGGATATTCACACCTAGTTGGTGTTGATGGCAGTATTCATTAAATGGAATGGGGAGGCATTTGGAAGATAATTAGCACATATACTTCCTAACTTATTAGTCATACTTTTTCTAAAAATTATATTTTCAGAATATAGCACAAAATAATAATAATCCAAGGATCTGTCAGGAATGTAAGAAGCCTGCCATATACTTTAAAAAAATGGAAGAATCAGTTATCCATAAATCTTGAATAATCTTATTTAAAACCATATTTGCTTTCATCTACCACCTATGTTTTCTTGAAAACCCTTAACTTTCAAGTGCATGTGTAATGTAATGTAATGTAATGTATAATGTCAGTTGTATGTTTTTCATTACAATCAGATTTAGAAAACAAGGATGGTAGAACCTCAGAACCTTTTCCTTCATCTATTCATTAAAAAGTAACTCATCTCTGACTTCTGACTATATATATATATTTAAAAAACGTTTATATTAATACTTTGATTAATTTGGTATCATGTTAGAGAAATATTAAGCCTTTCATCACTAGATGCTGTGGTCCTGTACTAAATCATTATTTCCCAATAAGCTGGCAGTGTAATATGCTACAGATTTAATACCATCTTCACTTCTCAAGTGACAGCAGTTCCTACTACTTGAAAATTTACTATCTTGGAGACTCTATAGCACAAGTTCATCCCAGAGTTAACCCCATCTTTGCTTTCTGAGCTGTTGGTTTGTAAAAGTTGCTTTTCAGTTGCTATACAGCTCTTACCATTTAAATATTACCCTTTCATCTAGAGGGGAAAAAGGAAAAATTATTTGGCCTCAAATACTCTTAGCATTCCATTTTCTCTCTTTGTTTTTTAAAACCAGAGAGACAACTATATGTAATTAGCTGAGATACTATGTACTTTATTTTTTCTCTTAAATGTTCCAGGCCATAGCACAAAACACAGATCTTAAAGAACGGTTATGCAGAATACATGCCGAATCTATGCTCCTTGATTCAGCTGCTAATGCAAATTCGAGCCCAGATTTTGTAAAGGTGGGTATAGATTTCCTGTCTTTTTGCAAAGCTCCTTGTTGCACCTCTCCTCCATTTAGCTGGTCATTGTCTTGCCCTAGTGAAACTTCCCATCACATAGTATGGCCACCCAAACAATGACATCAGCTTTTGCCATTCTTTGTAGTGTTGCTAAAGAGTTTGTATATTCTATGTTTTAGTTTTTTATATATCAAATTCTTCTACACAATTTTTGAACTTCAAATAATTGTCAGAAACTAATTTGCCTTTGTAAAAATAACCTTTTAACTCAGTTTGGGAGAAAATAACACTGTGGAAAACCCATCAAGATAAGGATTATTGTACACCAGTCCACTCAGATTGATAAAGGGGCTTTTGGCACGTGGGGGGGGGGGGAGGTAAAAAAAAGTTGAACTTCAAAATGTTCTTATCAATTGACTAGTTTCCCTTTTCTTGCTGAATATGTTTCTGCCACTAATAACATTACCTAGAAACAGGATGGAAATTAATACAGATTCATATAGATATAATAAGTCAACCAAACCTTATTTAAGTAGGTGCCCTCCAAATATATTGGGACTAAGCCATAGGTTTGGAAGAACATCATCTTAGGGAAGGCTGAGATAGAATAACTTTGTAACAATGGAGTAAGTGAGATTAAATGACTTTTTAAGACAAACAAAAATGAATTTAATTTGATCATGACAAATAGATAATATAGGTGAGTTCCAGTCATATATTTTGAGAATGTGCTGTGATTTGAACTGAACAATTGGAGAGGTTAAATGTTAGTGGATCATAGTTTATATTCCTTTTTTATGAGATATCTCAAGGCATTTGCCACTGTGTGCAATGGAATTTCTCCTATTTCATAAAGGCTATTGCTGTAATCAGAAACCAAGGACTTTTTTTGACATTGGTGCCTTTTTAATGCTTATGGTGCTGTACAGAACACTTGCAGTTCATTTGCTGTAAGCTAGGCACACACTTCAGTTTTCCTCATTTATATTATACTGTTTTGTTTCTTTGGACATTCCATTTTGTTTACATTAAAAGATAATCACACGTTTGTATTTGCTGTTATGTATATTGGGGAATAAACTGCATCCAGAACTCTGTTTTCACCTTGGGTGGTAATTTAGAAGTGGGAAACTTTTGGGGCTTCGTTCTTTTCTTAGGCTAAGGGATCTGCAGGAAACAAGGTAGTCAGTTATAATGTTAGAATGGGCAAGGAAGCAATTTCATTTGTTTGAGGGAATGCTATTGCTTTTAAGCTTTGAAGAGTCTAAGGCAGGGGTGTCAAACTCAAAGCCTGCGGTGGGATCTGGCCTGTAGGGCTACTCTGGAAACAGTGAAGGTCCAGCCTGTGGTGCCTCTGCCAGTGAAGACAGAGCTCAGAAGGGCTCCGTTTTCGCTGGCAGAGGGCTGCAGAAGTACATCACGACTGAAAACAGAGCTCAGGAGCCCCCCCCCATCTCCATTTTCAGTGACAGAGGTTTACAGGAGACCATTGTAGCCAAAAATGGAGCATGAAAGCCCATTTTTTCTGGCAAGGTGCTCGAACCACAGGCACCACCAACATGACTGAGGTCAAGCTGGCCACTCCTACCCTGGCCACGCCCATCTCTGAAACACAAGGTCAGACACAACCCTGGTGCGGATCTCAATTATATCGAGTTTGACACTCCTGATCTAAGGCGTGTTGCTTATCCTGATCAAATTCAGAATGCCAATCCTGCTTTTAAATGGTGGAGCATACACTCTCTCTGCACAAATAGGGTGGCTAGAAATGTTTTCCTTAAGAAAAGGAAATGCACCACTAAAAAGGACAACAGAGGGCACAAATTTGCATATGGTGATTTATATTTGCAAATCCAGACTTAGAAATCATGATTAATTCTTTCTAGTATATCAACATACTGGGAAAAATGATGAATCTGTGAGAGGTGTGCTTACCCACTCAGCTGGGTGGATGCTATTGTTGAGGGCAGTGTCAAGGTTCATACTATTTCCTTCGCATTTTATTTACTTACAAAGTAATTATTTGTAATTATTCATAAGCGGTTGTGAAATGGGAAAGGCAAGACACATCCTTTTTTAAAAAAGATCTGTGTGAGAGAACAATCTCTGACTATTTCATATCCACATACGCTAATTATCTGTTGTTTTTATTTTAAAAAACTGGGATTGTTAGGTTGGTTCTGTTAACATTTTCTTTTTCATTAAATATCTTAATAAATTATTTAATTCCCCAATCCTCCCTCCCTCCCTCTCTCTCTCTCTCTCTGTAGACTTTTAGGCCATTCCAATCTACTGACTTCTCAAATACATAATTTAGGATTAAAGGCAGATATTAAAAGTTTAAAATTAAAACCATACAGTACATCTTAATATAATAATCTTACTGATATCTTCTAAGAATTCATAATTACAAATACATAGTCTAATAAGCAATGGAGATAAGTATGGAGTTAATTTCATTTTATGGGTTAATCCAATTTTCCAGTTGCCTGTGAGTGCTGATTTTATCTCTCCTTTTCTGTGAGAGAGAAAAAAAAGTAAGAGTTTAGAAATTGCTAAACCCAAACTTTACACTTTGGTAACATCTTTTCTGTTTTGCCATTATTTTGATCCATTTGGATATATTATTGATACTGAATTTACTGAATTAGTGAATTTAATAATAATAATAATAATAATAATAATAATAATAATAACTATATTGAAATTATAAAAAGATATTACTTTTGCAAAGTAACAAAGTCATGGAGAGAAGTGTTCCTAATGGATTTAATATAAACCAATATCTTCACTGCAACTGATATGTATATTAACCAAATCCTGAATATGAAACAAATTATCAGAAAAAAGGAGCATAATTGACAGGCTTCATAGGACACATTAAATTAAGTAATTATGCTTTTCTCTTTGATCCAAAAGTCAGCAAAATATATTTTGTCCAACAAATTCCTAAGGAATCTTTAACTGGAAAGATAAGTATCTACAAAAAAAAAATCACAGACATTTTCATGACAGGAAAAGGGGCCCACCTGCAAATATTCTTTATTCTCCTCTACTTAGTTTTCTTGAATGTCAGCTGTTTCTGCTGGGGGGATTTGGGGTTGGGGGTAGGTATCAGAAAGCTAAGACCCACAAACTGCATACCTTGCTTTTGTGATCACAGAAGCCTTCAACATCGTGCTCCCAAAATTTGAAACATATCAAATAAAAGCTGCATGTTTATGAAAAAGATAAATTCACTTATGTTTACAAAAAGAACTAGGGTGGGGGGAATGGGGTGGCAATTTCATTCCTGTTCCTTTTGGTGACAATCTTTTACTGCACTGAAACCTTGGGTCATTCAGAAAATGTAGAAATTAATAAAGATGTGCTGTTTTACACAAAAAAATTAACATTATTTAACTGGACATATGAGGTCACAAATCAAATGAGAAATGTCTTTAGGCTTCTCTGTGTCGATAACTATATTAATTTAAGTATTATGAGAAACTATTTTGTGAGGAAAAATATCAGATAGAAATAAATTAACACCTGCCTCACTATTTTTTCTTGCTGAACCCAAATTCTTCACGATCTTGATCTCAAGGGATAAATATTATAGCAATGGCATTATAAGGCAATATAAAGATTGAGATGAAAGGACAGAAAATAACTGCTCATTATATTCAGCATTTCTATTTGATTGTGTCAGTTTCTTTACTGCCCCTGTCCTTTTATATATGTTAGTTTCTTACAATGCACTGTACTTCACAATTCTGTTTTGTTTTGCTGTTAATTTGCTAAGATGGGCTTTTTGACTTGCCATCTGACCAGGATTTTGACACCTTTGCCTTAACTTGCAGTGATGTTCCATTTTCTGTGAAAATATATAACTAGTGTTAGTTTCTTTAAAAAGCTTAGAATGATTTCTACAAGCAAGTAAAATACCCATCTATCTTTTCTGACTCAAACAATGGAAGACTCTAGCTTTGCAAATCTGCTCTCTGTGCATCATTATCCAGCTCACATCAGCTTTCCCTTTTCCCTTTGGAGTATCGCTTTGAAACTAAATGTTTGTCCACCCTTCCATCCTGGTGGGCAAATCTACATCATTCCTATGCTATATATAGGAAAAAAACACCATTGTATTTAAGAAAATAGTATTTTAGTAGAAACATAGTGTCAGCCTCTGTTTTGCTTGCTATCAGCTGCCATAGGAACGGGGTGGGGGCATGGTATTGGGGAACGGAATTATATTGTACTGGAGGAGTCTTGTTCTCACCATCTTCTGCACATGCTGGTGGCTGATGTTTGGACTTAGTCAAAGTCAACCGTTTCACATACCAACTTGATGAGTGTTTGAAGATGCACCCCACATGACACCTTAGGGAGTTGCAGATTGGACACTGGGTTGGGGAATTGGGGGTAGGGTGCTGGGTAAATGTTATGTATATGTTCCCGCCTTTCTGGCTCAGATATTTCTTTCCTTTTAGCTGCATTCATTTCATATCTAGTAAAAGTACTTTATCTCTAGTAAAACGGAGTTGAGGTTTTTCTTTCTTGGATATTAAAGGAAGCATATCTGACACATAGGGAGCTTCTGCAATTACATACATGCTTAGCTGACACAGTCAGCTTCACAGTGATCTCTATATTAAAATCAGCATGTTTATTGAAGGACTGTGTAATCTGTAACTAACTAGTATCATTTCGTGGATGGGGGGGGGATGCTTAGTTAAGGAGCTCTTGACTTCCACCCTGAAGTTCAGCTTTGCCACTAGAAGTTGAGGTATTTAAGAAAAATGTTACACATATAAAATTCTTATGGTTCTATGTTTTCCTTCCTAAAGTAATTTGTGTAGGCATCCTTCAAAAAGCCTGATCAAGCAGGCCTTTATACAGGTAGTCCTTGACTTAACAACCATTTGTTTAATGAACTTTCAAAGTTGAAACAATATTTTAAAAAAGTGAATTACGACCATTTTTCAGTTTTATAGCACTTACAACATCCTCATGGTCATGAGATTAAAATTCAGATGTATGGCAGCTGGTTCATATTTATAACATTACAGTGTCCTGGGATCATGTGATCACTTTTTGCAACTTTCTGACACGTAAAGTCAATGGGAAAGCCAGATTCACTTAACAATTGTGCTACTAACAGTTCAGTGATTCACTTAACAAGTGTGGCCAGAAATGGGACAAAACTCACTTAACAACTAACTGTCTTGTTTAGGAGCAAAAAAATTTGAACTCATTTGTGGTCCCAAGTCAAGGGCTACCTGTATAGCCACATGTACTTAAAGAATATATGTTCTCTGCTGTAGTGCCTGACCTCCGGGACAGTATATCCCAGAAGGCCCAATATGTTGTTCCAAATAGTATAGAAAGCCAGGCTGTGGGCAGACTGTGATATGAACTCTTGTAAAACTTTGTATTCTGTTTGATATGGTTTTCTGTTTCTCTTTTTCATCTGTGTAAAGAGCCCAGAATCAGTTGTAGTCAGACATTCTTTTAAATGTATTTTAATAATAAATAAACTATTGATCATGACTGTTTTTATTTTTTGCAGGAAAGTTCTGAACATCAAAATAGGAGTTTGGTTCACCAAATATCCAATGAAAGCAGACTATCAATAACAGATTCACTCACTGAATTTTTTGATGCACAGGAAGTTCTACTGTCTGCCAGTTCTTCAGAAAATGAGGTCTGGAAAGTATTTCAGAAACATTGGATTGGTTTCAAAATCATGTAACCTTTATTATCTTAACAATCTCAGTGGCAACACTATGCACATTACTTCAGCACACAAAACTTACTTACTGATACTTTCTAAAGTATTTTAAGAGAATAGGGGGGTGAAGGAATGAATACAAGATGTACTGCTTATGTGAAGATATTCCTATGCTTTTCTTAGGAAGAAATATTTAATTAACTCAAATTTATTTCCATTTGGCACTGGCTATGTAGCAAGGTTTTCCATAATGTGGAAATTATATTCAAGCTTACTTTAGTCTTGTCCTTTCCAGAGGCTAACAGTTGCTTATAGAGGAATTTTATTGTTGCAATATCCATTTCAAACTTGATTGATGTATTTTTATTTCCTTTGCATAAATGTAGCAGTATGTGAAAAGAGATTTTTTTTCTGATTCATTATCAGCATAAAAGAATGTTTCCTTCCTCCCCAGGTATCTGATGATGATTCATATGCCAGTGATATAAGTGATAATATTTCCGAAGACAACCTAAGTAACGACATAGAGAATGAAAGGCAAACACTTGGTAGGCGTCTTTATTTATTTCTGGTCTCTAATTTGTTTTTTAATTTTGAACTACCAATAATTAATTACCTAGAAATATGCAAATTAAATTCAGGATTCCATTTTAAACAATTGCTTTCTGCAGTTCTGATACTATGTGCAGTCATATCCAAAGAAGAAATAACTCACATTTTAACGTGTAGCTTTCCGTTTTTCTCTTCCATCTCTGATGATGTCTTTCTCTCTTACACACCCTTCTCCTATGTTGCATCTTGTATAATGCATGACTTGGGAGAGACCTGTGCAGTTTTACCAATCCAAGTCATTCTCAACATCTTGCAGTGTGTAAATAACCAAGTTGTGGCAAAAGATTTTAAAAAGGGATTTTACTGAGCCTATTCTCTCAAATGATGTCCAACTGCATAGGAAAGGCGTGATACTAAAGTTTATGTGCAGTAGCCCCCACCCACCACTATAAATCTATAATCCTTTTCCTTCTAGCAAAGATCTCTGCCTACTGGGGTGCTCTTATTTTTTATGAAATGTAGAAATAAGGAAATGCTCCAAAATGATTAAAAAAACGAGCCTTAAAATGAGCAAGCTTTACTTAGTATCTTTGAAAATCCTCATTCTATAGGAATCCTCATTCTGTAAGAATGGCAAGTGGTGATATTCTACTTTATTATTAATGGCCCATGTTTTGTGATTTCAGTCTGGGAATCTGAAATCTAATTAAAACAAAATGTGTTAAGTTATATAAAATGCAGATTTGGCAAATTTTAGCAAGCATAATTATAGTGATAGAGGTAAAGTTTATCTTGCTTTTTTATACTTCTTTCTCTTTAAACTCACTCTAGCATTGTCAATATGGAGGGAATAGAAAAAGTTCATTTATGTAAATAAGATCTTTTTAAACAAATAGTTGTAAAATGAGTGGGAGGGGTATGCATGGATGGGATGGTTACATATATAGATAGCTATGTGAATGAGTAAGCTAATTTTTATATGTATTAGTAATGTAGTTTTGGTTTTGCTCACCAATTGCATGAACCCGGAAGAGAATGAAAGTGACTGACTGAAACGGATTCTATCTCTGAATGAAATAGTTGATTTTGGAAGCCAGGAAGTCCAGAGTTATTACATTTTAGGTTGTCATTAATCAAAACTCTATGATTCAGCACAATTTGCTTCTCAAAGCTATATTTAACTATCTTCTATTCTGAGAAGTTTGGAACCGATATAATATGTAAAAACAATGTTAACCAAACAGTGAATTCCAAAAAATGTTAAATTGCCAAACTTATACCTAACATCTGTTTTCAAGATTGTGCCCCAGACGGTATTGTGGAATGCTATACAAGGCGGAGGACACGTCTACCAGCCCCATGCCCCAATACAAGTAATATCAGCCTCTGGAACATTCTACGGAATAATATAGGAAAAGATCTCTCCAAGGTGTCAATGCCTGTTGGGCTGAATGAACCTTTGAACACTTTGCAGAAGCTTTGTGAGGAACTGGAATATAGTGAATTGCTAGATAAGGCAGCATTCACACCTAATCCTTTTGAAAGGATGGTAAGGAGAAATATGCTATACTGAAAATGAGAAAATTATTTACTTACTTTGTATTATATTACATTATAAATTATATTACAGCTTTACTTATTTGTTTACTGGCCACCAATCTTATATAACATACTCTTGGGCAGTTCACAATAGCATACAGAACAGTAATACAAAGAACAATAAAATCATTTCAAACAACCAAGGTGTCTTAATATTCCTAATCCAAATACACTTGTTCTGGGCTCAAAGGAGCAAGACCCAGGTCAGCTTCAGGAAAGTGAGGGAAAACCAATATGCATATTTCTACTCAACTTTTAAATAATCTTAACAGTCAACTTGGCTATTGAAATCAAATTTAGCTGTATGCATGGATTTCAGATTCAAATAGAAATACAAATTCAAAATGGATCTTGACTGACTTATACAATACAATAGCAGAGTTGGAAGGGACATTGGAAGTCTTCTAGTCCAACCCCCTGCCTAGGCAGGAAACCCCATACCATTTCAGACAAATGGCTATCCAACATCTTCTTAAAGACTTCCAGTGTTGGGGNAGCTCCCGACGGCGGCAGCTCCTCCCCTCGAAGCCAATTTTATCTCCAATCTTTGGAGGAACTGCCAGTTCCTCTTTGGTCATCGAGATGTTTCTTTTTTTCTCCTGCTCTTCCAGAACAGTTCTGGCCCCAAAGTCCCTGGCAATGGTTTGTCTGGTTGGGATTTTATGGAGCCCATCAGACCTCCGCTATTTCCAAACCAATCTCGTCCAGCTTCCAGAGATGTATATTTTGGCATTGATTCCAAAAAAGTGGGAAGATGCAGGAATATGAACGTAATAGTCATCAAGAAGAGGCAGGAGCAGCCTTTAAGTCTCCCCATGGTCCAAAGCACTATCCAGCCTTCATATAGAATTTTAGAAAATGATAAGTTCATTGGAACTTATTGCCAAGTCAGTCTTGGCTGTTTTATGGCATTTTGTAGAATTGTTTAAAGCATTTAATTTCAGTCTATTTGGAGAATGAAGTGCAAAACTGATGCTTTTCTTGGTGCAAGAGGCAATCTACCCTAGTTGTAGGGAAAGTGGGAAAGAAATATTTCAAAGATATTTTACCTTAACTGGCTTAATGTAAGTCTACCTAGGAATGAACTACTGTATTTTCAGTATTATGTGTTTGTACCAGGGATGAAATGCTCCCGGTTCGCTGGAAGTAACAAATGCTGCAGGTAGTAACAAATACTACGTGTGGCACAGCTGATTGTCACAGCTGATGAACCTTTTTTAAAAACTTTTTTAAAAGCATTTTTCACTACCTATTCGCCCAACTGGTGGTAAAAAAATGCTTTACATTTTTTTTTCTTTTTTAAAGGTTCCAATTATTAGCTTTCTGACAATCGGTTGTGCTGGGGGATCTCACTGTTTTCTTTTTTTCTTTTACTTTTTAAAAGCATTTTTACTATTTATTAGCCTCAACTGTGACTCTGTGAGGTTCCTGCTTGTTGCAGGGGGCATTTAGTGTGAAATCCAGTTGCTTCTGTATTGTGTGGGAGTCAGTTGTGTAGGTTTTGTGTTAATTTTGTGTAAAATGTGATAGTTGGTTTTTGAGCTGTTTGTGACTGTGAGATTCCTAGTTGTTGCCAGGGCCATTTTATATGAAGTCCAGCTGCTTTTACAATGTGTATGAGTCAGTAGTGTGGCTTTTGTGTTGTTTGTGTGTAAAATGTGAAAGTTGATTTTTGAGCTCACCTGGTCACATGACCATGACCACCAAACCATGCCCACCGAACCGGTAGAGAAAATTTTTAGATTTCACTACTGGTTTGTACCCTTGAATAGCATTAAAGTTGCCTTTCTGAAATACATGAAGTATTTTGGTCTTTGAGTCTTTCAGATATGCGGAGCTAATATTTATGTATCTTTGTAGTATTTGCTGGAATTTAAAGTATCTTGATTGTTACAGAAATTAGTGAAAGAGAAATTCTATTAAGGATACAATTAATAAAATTAATAAGTGATACAAGAAATAAATATTTATAATATTTATAATTAAATTTAGTAGTTTAATATTCAATGCCTGGATTACATTTCTATAGTCCTACGAAAGTGTTCAAGCTATCATGAGAAAGTTGCATTTGATTTAACAGTTTTTGCACAATGATTGGGATATGTATTGTAGATTGCACATTGACATTTGNCATACCTTAGTTAGCTGACTAGCAAAAAGTTCATCTACTTCCTCTGCTTGGTTGGGTGGCCTGTAGTATAGACCTATGGCAATGTCATCTCCCCCCCCAATCTTTAATATTGACCCAAATGCATTCAAGATAGTTTTCATCATTGTTGTGCTCTATTTCTGTAGAGAGGTAATTATTTCTTATATATGGTGCAACTCCATCTCCTTTTTTATTTGGTCTATTTCTTATAAATTGAATATATTGAATATACTGACCTTTCCCTATCTCATTATACTGAGATAGCTGAACAATGAAAATAGGAATAGTTGGGGAAACATTATTCCATGAAAGCTGGTTCATATAAAACCTGCCTATAGATTTTTGAGATATGGCTATCAAAATACAGGGAAAATAATGTACTTAGAAAGATTGCAATTATTGCCCCTTCGGCTAGGAAAAGAAATATTTCATCTATCACTGCTCATAGATGCAATTCATAGAAGAAAGCTGTGAAAGCATTACTGCATTCAAGAACACATTAGCTTATAGGAGGTATGAATCTTGATGTCAATGTGAGATCAAAATCTCATTAAAAAATTAAACAACATTAAAAATCTACATATCTTTCCATAATGATCTATTTATTATGTTCTTAGGTTTATGTGGCTGCTTTTGCAGTCTCTGCCTACGCATCTAGCTACTACAGAGCTGGAAGTAAGCCATTCAATCCTGTGCTTGGAGAAACCTATGAATGTATCCGTGAAGATAAGGGTTTCCGATTTTTTTCTGAACAGGTAATGCAATTTTATCATGATAGAGAACTTCATGTTCCTACAACTTAAATTCAGACTTGCAAAGAAGATAACATTGTGTAGTTACACGATAACATAGGCAACATTTTGGCCCTCAAAGTCTTGCCAGTTTATAGTATCTATTGAAAAACCAATGATAATTATATAAAAAATGGAGCATAACGTACGTTTGATTCAGTGGAGATTCTGCAGTTCATGAAATTGTGGTTGGAGGTCAAGAGAGTTATGAAGACAGCAAGAGATAAAGAGAATTTTGAGGAAAGTTATTGGAAGAAGTGAAAATGTTACTGGTTCTGGTTTGTTACATTCTCCATATATAAAGTTTTCTGCTTTTCAGGGCCAAACAAAGAAGCAAAACAAAAAATCAAAGCTATTTTGGGATTTGCTCCTTTCTTCCTTCCCTATTCCAGTTATAGTGAGAACAAAGTTTCTCTAGTTTCTACTACCTTAAAAGTTGTTAGTAGGACACATTCCATATGTAGTTCTTACATGAACTGCATTCCTAATGGGTAATACTATTCCCATTCCATAGCAACCTGCTTATATGTTATATATTTCATATGGGATATGCCCTTCAGGTGTCTTACTATGTAAAGCGATCCAACAGAGACAGGAAAGTGTCCTTTGTGATTTTGAAACCATGTACAGAAGAATTTTGTATTCTAGCAGACTTGCTTTGTATCAACTTAATTGCTTTTTTTTTCATCTAGAAAGTTTTTTTTTAATTGCTCTTAATTTTTTTTAACATGATGGGGTTGTGTTAGCTGCTGAGTAATTATTTTTAGAAACAAAATTCAGTTCCAGATGTTTGATATTTATTGTTGTTATTCTGAACTGTCCTAGGAAGATTTGTATTGAACATATTGAGTTTTGTTTTTTAAAATGAAGTTTTTTAATTTTTGTTACATATTTTAACTTCTTTTATAAACAAACTGTTGTCTGGGTTTTCTCCTTTTACATCTTCTCTTATGCATAGTTCACTTTACATCATATTTCCATTTCATATTTGTCATCTTATTTTCTTTCCATATTTTCCAGTTTAACTTTTAATTTTTTTAAAATATATAAACAATATCATTATTTGCCTCTCCAAGTTAATCAAATTTAACATTTCATTTCCATCTATTATTCTGTTTTACTATCAATAACATATATCCTTAAATTTAATTTTATATGGTAAACATTTCATTTAATTAATTAAATTAAATTAATAGTATTGATCTATTTCCCTCACATCATATTAGCTATATACTCGTGATGGCGAATCTATGGCACATGTGCCTGAGGTGGTACACAGAGCTGTGTGGGCACATGTGCAATCACCATTTGCTCTTCTGGTTTAAATAACGGGCCATTTTTCAGGCTGTTTTCAGGCCGTAAAATGGCCCAAAAACAGCCTGAAAATGGCATGAAAACGGTCCAAAAACAGCCTGAAAACAGCCCAAGAAATGGCCTGAAAACAGCCCAAAATGCCCCCAAATTAGGCATGCGTACAACGGCCAGCTGGTCTTCAGATTTCCGGCACTCCAGTGCATGCACATACACGTGTTCCGGTTTGGACACTTGCCATTACTCCTATATATCATTGGCAATATTTATCGTATTTCATTCTATTCTACTAGTAAATCCTTTTCCTTCTTTGCTCCTTTCATTTTCTCTTAGTCTCTCAGGAACTTCACTTCTCTTATATTCTCTTCTCTCTGTCCATTTGCCTAGCTTTTTCTTGTTTTTGTAATGTCTATATTTTTTCTTCTCAATCTTTTTTCTCCTTTTAGTTCTATTGTTTTAGTAACTTTCCCCAGTCCCCCCCATCTTTCTCCATTATTCCCACCTTTGCTGTTTAATTTACCCTTTTGGGGAGCCACTTCCCCTTTATCTCCTTTTGATGTGTCACTGTAAATCCCACTACAATTATCTGAATATTTTTCTTTTTCAATCTCTCTTTCTTTTGTAATATCTTCTTCATTTAGTCTCTTTTCTATCTCCTTTTCTCCTCCTCCTTGTTCTAGGTGTTCCCTCTGAGTTTCCACTTTTTCTTTATCATTGAGCATTTCACATGCATTTTTAACATGTCAAGTAATTCATTATACATCCAAAATTCCATAGTGTCTGCTTAGTTAATACCAAATTGTTTAAACTTTTTGTGCTATATCACAAATCCTTCTTGTTATTTCCCACCGCTTCAAAGTATCTTTATCTTGTTACAGTCAGGGTCAGATCTGCAGCTGTACTTTCCTCTGTTTTCTATTGAGTAGTGTAGTATTCTTCTCACCAGTAGATTTCTCCCTCTCCCCAATACTCAATATGCTTTAATCAGCTGGCTGTCAGAAGCTGTCAAAATTCGTACTTAATTCACAAAAAATAGAAAAAGATAGAAAAAGAAAGAAAGGAATTTCCCCCCGAATTCTTTTTATTAGTTTTAATGTTTCCTGATCCAAATTTGGGAATAAAAATCTTCTAGGACTTTCCGTTTAATCTCCACCCTTTCTTTTTTTCCTCCATTAAATCCCCCATCTGCCAGATAGCGCCTAATTTCCTCTCCGGGTTTCTTTTTTAATCCAATTTTAAAGTTTCTTTACTTTGGGTTGATCGCTCTTTCACCCAGATCCAACACTTTGTACCAGCAATGTTCCTGCTCAAATTGCTTGGTCCAGTTGCCCCAACTTTGAAGCAGCCATTTGGCTGCTGCCGCTGTTAGTTTGGACAATTTTATCTCCAATCTTTGGTCTGAATATTTTTATTTCATTTTCATT